AGTCATTTACAAAGGCAGAAAAAATCATGCCGGTAGATTAACATATGTCATAAAAAACCAAAGAGCATGAAAATTACAACTATATTGTAGTCCCCAGACATAAATCTTGGGCACCCTAAAAAAACCCCAAAAAACCTCACGGAGTAGATGGCAGTGTCTTAACTGGATGCATTTTGTAAGGCCTAAGAGCCTTTTCCATCCTTGCCAAAGGGATTGCTCACCTTCTTCTTTCATACACCACCCACAACTAGTTGGATAGCTTAGAACTGTGGGTTAGGTAGCGTTCCAGTTTGCTAGTAGCGATAAATGTGGATACCTGATAAAATCTACACTCATGCATTTGCACACTTCTTCCAATGGTTGTAAAAAATCGTGTCTTTTCATAATATTCTTAGGTCATTGGTTTTCCTTTCAGCATAATTTCTTCCACCGTCTGTAGTAGGTCCCTGGCACCCTCAGTGGGTGGGAAGATCATCCTCTAATATGGCATTTTGAAAACTAACATTTCCATCATTTTCTTGACTGGTGAAAACTTATAATCTTCTTAGACAGGGTAGTGGGAGTTGTAGGGACACAAACACGTGTGTGATTGACCTGGGGTAACAGTTGTGAACATAAAAATAATTGTGTTCACTGAATCAATAAATCACCATAAATAAAAATATCTATAAGTTATTATTCTAAAGAAAGACAAAACTGAGATCCCAGGGTCAGTTAATATTTGTTTTACATCCTGGAAAATTCCAACTGAATCCAAGTTCTTAATAGGCAGATCTTCATTCGTGCATTTTTCATTCAACATATTTAGCGATCCCCCACTCTCTAAGCCCCCACAGTATCCAGACACTGTAATTAAATGTTAATCAAAATGGTCATGGTGCCCTCTTTAATGAAGCGTAAGTGGGAACGTTTTATAGATTGGGATTTGAGTAATTTAGTCAGCCGCCTGGTCCTTGAGGTAAACTATTCGCCATTGAGCTCATTCAGACTCACTGACTATAGGAAATAGTAGAGAAAGGGCCCTTTGCACTGTTGGCCTGGCAGCTAATAGGGATGCCCTTCGTAAAGGTTCAATAAATATTTGATGATAGGCAGAGAGAAGAGAGTTAATCCATCTGGGTTTGTCATTTTCCAAAACGACAGAGCTGAAATTGGCTTTTCCCAAAAGCCATGATGTTTTCATATGTCCAGTGTTGAGAATTCAGATTCTGAAATGATCCGAAACAGAAGCATCTGGAAATGTAGCTTGTTCTTGATTTTGAGTTGGCCGGGGTATTAGTGGGGTGAAGGGAATGATGCTGAGTGATGGGAAAGGAAGAAGGAAGAAAATGCCTATATTGCCTGGGGAGGAGAAAGTTATAGCTGTCTTATAGTTTACTTGTACGTCGATGTGATTTTCCCAGTTTCTCATGTCATAAAATCTGTATGGACTGCCTCAGCCGAGGGATTCTAGACTAATGATGAATAGACCAATATACAAATGGTAGAAGCTGAAAGAATTGCTGTGTGCCCACTAAAGTGAAATTAGAGTGAGACAAATAGAATACACTCTCAGAAATAGGATTTGATTACTTAATTTTATAGGCCAGAATCAAAATTGAGTTCATAATACAGAGATGTTCTTCTTGATGGTAGATAATGTGGGGCAGAGTTAAAAGTGTATTTGCTGATTTGTTGAGAAATGTCAGTTTTCCTTCTAATGCTAACATGATGAAGGAGAAAACGCTATCAGTCAAATTTGTCTGAATGCTCTGTATTTAACTAGCTGGCAGAAGATTGATGGTATCCGGTACCATCTTTACAAAACTACTTGGAAGAACTTCGGTTTGGGGTTATTTTAGATTCCCAGTGAAGCAGAAACCTGCTTCCTGTTGACCCTTGTCAAAGGCCTACTGGCGTGCAAGGTCTGATCCAGATACAGTAAATAGCACGTCTGAAGCAAATCCAAGGAAAGAATAATGTGCTCCGATAGTGGAAGACTGTTCTCTTTACATGGTTTCCTGAAACCAAGTTAACTTAATGTCTTCAGAAATGGGCTTTTGACTTGTTACCTGGTAATAGAGAAATCCCTATTCCATGTCAGTGCAGAGATTCAACAGGAATCTCAACTTACTACGTTAAGCAGAGTCAGGAGTCCGTCTGTGACGCCTTCCTGCTTTGTCGAAGTCTTGTGTACCCCTTCTCATATCTCTATTCTAGTGCTCGTCTCTGACCCCTTCCCCTTCACATGCATGCTTCAAAGTTTGCTTGGAACCAGGCAGCGGCCAGGAAGAGTACATTGAAAGCAACTGCATAGACTTCTAAGTTCAAGTAGATCCAAAATATGGCTTTGTTCGAGCCGCAACTCATGTTCAATGCCCACCTTGGTGGACATTTTTAATAATCAGAAATATCTACCTAGAAGATTTTATTCAAAAACATTCTTACATTTACTAGAAATGTATGTCCCTGTGTATTACCACACTCCTCTTGACTTAATTAATATTCCAGAAATGGAAGTTATATATGTCACATCGGATTTGGATGTGACATGCCTACATTACAAATATAGGGGAAACTTTTTGCAGTATTTAAAACATAGGCAAAAACAGAGAATAATGCAATGAATACTCATGTCACACTCACCAACTTCAAAAATTGTCAACTTAGGGCCACTATTCTTTCATTTGTGCCTCCTGCTCCCTCTACCTCTCGTTATTTTAAAGCAAAGCCCACACGTCTTTTCATGTACGACTATTTTAGTCCATATCTCTTTCAACTACCACTTTATTATAATAGACCCATAATAATATACTCTACACATGAAGAATTCTGTGTTTATATTGTAGATGTCAGTTCATCTATATCATAGTTTGGGCATGGTTTTTGAGGAAGCACGTGAATTAGTGTCCTTCTGCATTTTAAGCAGATACGACACATCACCTGACCCCCAGAGCAACGGTGAAAACATTCTACCTACATGTGTGTCCACGCATACAGGAACACGCGTTGATTCAGGAGTCAACAGTATTAACTTTTCCTGGTATAGCAAGATGTTCTTGTACATTTTTCCTGGAGTCAACCTTTCTCCAAAGACTTCGTGTTTTATTATTATTTTTAAACAAACTGCTATTTGGAGACTACACTGAGTGCTGAAATACTCATTGCTCTTGGGCTAAATATTACTTTTACACATTTTCAGTGAACAGAATATCTTAAAAGTATCTTATCTCTATCTAAGTGTGTTACTAGGAGCCCTGGTGACATAGTGGGTTGTGGACTGGGCTTCAGACCTCAAGGTTAACCATTCCGAACCACTCCCATAAAGAGTTCCAGTCTTGGAAACCCGGAGGGGGAGTTCTACTTTGTTTATGAGTTGGAGTTAATTTGATGTCAGTGAGTGTAACTTGGAAATGTCGTCAGACTTTAGTTTAGAAGATGTAAGCCTTAAGACGTTTAAGATGAAAGATGTCCTAGATGTCCAACTTCCCTACGATGTTATGTCCCTCCATTCCCCACCTCCTCCACCTGTGATTCACTACAACGCCTCACAGAAACGCAACATTTTAAGGAAATGTCTCACAGGGTTGTGGGTGTTATAGATTTGAAATCCAGAGGTTTGGCAGATGCAAGGTACAGAGTCAGAAGCCAGATAGGCCCCAACGTCAAAGCAAGTCTTGCTTTCACTAACCCCGGTGTCAGGAAACAGAAGTCACACAAAGCTCTGGTGAAGGTGTGATTTTTAATCTCTCAGGAGAGCATACCCCTGTGGAAAACAGGATGGTGGCTTAAGCCCCACCCTCTAGTAGAGTCTAAGGATACATCTCACTGTAATACTGTAACTCTTCTGGGAGTGGAAATCCCATCTTTCTCTCTCATGAGTGGCTCGTGGGTTTGAACTGCTAACCTTGTGGTCTACTCTGGCCACCTGCTTTAGGTTTTTTGCTCCCTGGTTGGCATTGGAAGAAGAGAAAATATACAAAGGCGTGTGTTACACTGGAGTGCACAGGCATTAAACGAAGGGTAGCAAAACCATCTGTTCTAGCAACTGATGTCCTGGAAATAAATATTCTCTTTTGAAGGGATGAAATTAACTTCACTACATCTGTGCTCAATAGCGTATAATTATTTCCCCCTAATGTGCCTGTCTGAAAAGAGTGTGCTAAACTTGCCATTCTTTATTAATATGATGTACAACAAGACCAGAAACATTTATAAGTGTGGACGCTTTTCTGTGCAAATGTAAGTTTAAAGAGATTTGTAAAGATCAAGCCTGATTCATTGTGGACAAGTGAAGGGAATGTGCCGTGAACAAATCATTGAAACTCGTTGTATGCACTAAAGAGCTCTGAGTTAGTTCTGTCCTCCCGGGACTTCAGAACTAGGAGACACCACACACTGTTCAATAAAAGCATTAATTTAATGTGCAACAGAGGGAACATGAAGAAAGACAACAAGAAATGTAATTCCCAAGGAAACAGTAGATTGGTAATGGCTCCATTTATCCGAGGACCTTTATTGAGCCCCCTGTGTAACAGGTTAACATCCAGGTGGGAACTAGCTAACTGTATGAGATAGCCTTACATTGTCCAACAGGCATGCGCAGAAATCTGCGACATTGATCCCTGCCAGTATACTTAAGCTTGTTATTCTTGAGCTGTAAGCTCTGCTTTGATTCCATGAATCTTAAACTTCCTAAGTAGGAATAAACACAGACTGTATGTTGCAGCTGATTGATACAGAAGACTTTATTATCATAAACTTGCAAGATAATGATTTCTACCCAATTTTTGGAAAAATTGCCTGCTGTGGAATATTATTTTTAAAGAAGGAATAATAGGAAAAGCCAAGTGGTTTGGGGCATGCTGATTTGAACAGAGGTAAAGACTGTGAGATTTCTCAGCACTTTTATTACCCTAATTTGCTCTGCAACAGGACGAGAAGGGCATATTATATACAGAAGTATTTGCTTGCCAGTCTTCTTTGACCATGGAGTTCAATGTTCACAAAGCAGTGTTTCAGTGAGATTTCTTGGGTTGTACATGGTCCAAACATTCAATACAAACTGCCAGAAGGGTGTGTGTGTGGAGTGCTGTACTTAGGGAATTTATTGGCTGATGTAATTCGAGAGGCCTGTCTCACTTGACCCAAGAGATGAAATGGGTCTCCAGGAACCCTATTCTCTGCTGCTTAGTTTAACACTAATCTCTCCAAGCGTTGGTGTTTCGCACTTGAACTTTCTGGTCATGGCTGCAAGATAGC